GAACTGGTACAAATAGACTTTTGAAAAAAAACTTCTAAGTAGTAAGATATCCACTCCGCATAACGCTACAAAAAAGGGGTGGTTATTTCATGAGGCTCGCATGCTTTTTTGAAATCAAAAGACAATAGGCTATTCAATACTCCATCTCAACTGATAGTAATCTCACCCATTGGCTCAGATAAGTGGCTTATTACAAACTCTGTTTCCTTGTCACATCTGCACCTTGTAAAAACTGACTGAAAAAAAAATGTTAAGACTATCTGGAATATCAACATTCTTTGTCGCGATTTCATTTCCACGTTTCAGCTGGTCAATTTTATCGCGCCGATTGGACATATAAAGCCAGAACTTGCGAGGTGAATGTTTAATAAAAGAACTCAACTTTTGACCAAAAAAAGCGCGCTTAGATTCCAACAAGTATTTCTTCAATTCTTTTCGTACACGTGCTATATTCTCAAAGCCATGGTTTCTTTTCCTCCGCAGCCTTTTTAACTTTCGCTATTTGTGAATAATATTTTGTGTTATTTACGGATTGCGCTTTTTAGTCTGTTTTACTCTACTAGGAACGAATTTGTCGATGCAATATTTAATAATATCTTTAAAACGTTGCCAGAATTCTTCAACTGTTTGGCGCTCGGATGCGTGCTCAGAATGACCAAATGAATACCCCAGCATGTCAAGAATTGAAGTGTCATCCGCGTTGGTGTAATCTTTTACTTGCACGGTCTTATAGGTTCTAGCCCATGAAACACTCAGTGGAATAGTAACAGAGACCAATCTATGATCAGAAATTATCTCATCAACACAGATATTATAATTGCACAATTTTTTTTAAAGGAACACCAGATCAAACACTGACTGAGGCGAAGATGTCATCCGTGTATATTCGCGCACTATTTGGGTTAAGTTATGAGCGAACATAATTACCAACATCTTTTCGCCACTATCAATCTCGACGTGTCCAGGCAAAAAAGCGTCCCAGTTAATGTGAGGCAGATTAAAGTCTCCAGTAAGAATTAGCCTGGTGTTCCCATTTACATGGGCACAAAGGAAGTTATTCAATTTATCAAGATAGTCTGATGCTGTTGCGAGTAGTCTATACACGACACCAAGAAGGTATACTGTGTTAAAAAAGCTAATTTTACACCACACTGTTCCTGGTACATTGCTTTGAACATGCGCGGCCACAACAGAGTTTTTTACTATGATAGCGACCCCACCCCCTTGTTATTCCCTATCAGATCTAAAGATTTTGTAGCCTTCTGGCACAATGCAGTTATCAGGGACACAACTGTGTAGCCACATTTCAGTTATGGCCACCACATGAGGGCTTCGTGATAGCAAAACGGATTCAAGTTCAGTTACTTTGTTAACGATGCTTCGGGCATTAAATAAAAGAAGCCGAAGCTATGTCTGTGGTGAAGAAGAGGGCGCTCCTAGCGCGTTAGATGTAGCAACTTCAAGAGCATATCTCTGTTTCTGTTTATCTGCATGATTTTGATACAGGTATCCTTCTTCTGGAGTGACATCCCACAGTGACATCCCAGCGCTATATATCACCCTTTATTTTGATCTTATCATGCACCAACTTAACCTGCGAACCTTTAGCCCTATCTGAAGCTACACGTTTCCATACCTTGCGTCTTATTTCAACCGTGTCTCGGGCTTAGTCGTGGCTTATGGTTATATTGGTCCCTTTAGGTTTCTTGCAGTTTTTTAGAACACTTTCTTTTTCACAGTAATCATAAAACTTCATGATTATGGGCCTATCTTTCCCACGTTTTTCCTTACCAAGTCGACGGATTCTTTCAATCGTTTGAGTTTCTATACCAAGGGGTTCTTTAAAAATCACGTCGACCACGATTTTCTTCAAATCAACAGCTGAAGCTTTCTTGCTTTCGGGAACACCAAAAACCAAAAGATTATTATGTCGACTGCGGTTTACATAATCTGCTAGTTTAGCAGCTTGTTCCTGCACGATATGCTCTAGGATCTCAATTCGTTTATTCATTTCCTGTATTACCGTAAAATAGCCACTTAATTTTTCAGTTTTAGCATACAGTGCACTGATTTCTTCCTTCAGTGCGTCCATTTTACAATCCGAGGCTCCTTGGTTGTCTAGAATAGCTTGTAGCATTTGAGTATTAGTGAGTCCAGGGTTTTCCTCCACATCGCCTGACAGCAGGATTGAAATCGTTGTACAGCAATGACAAAGAATACTGAAACATCTGCCAGGGCACGGCACTAGTAACAAAAATCGATCGTCACTTCTATAACAAACAACATTCGTAAAGTAACCAACCTGCATAGGTGCAAGCAAAATCTTAGGTATGTTGTTCGTCGGATGCGTGCTGTGCCCTCTGAAGAATCCACTGTCGTACTGCTCCTTTAGTAGATCCGCCGCCGATGATGTAATGCGCCGCGACTGCGTATTCACTGGTAGATGAATCCCAGTCTCGTCTCGCTGTCCGTCCGGTAGAACGATAGCAGTTCCGAGGCAGTACGGCAATGTGAAGGCAGAAAAACACAGCATAACCTGCATAGGTGGAAGCAAAATCTTAGGCACGTTGTTCGTCGGATGTGTGTCGTGCCCTCTTTGCATCGCCTTTGCTGGCGATGCATCCTTCTTTTGCGTAGCCCACGGCGACAATGCCAGCTCGTCGCTGATCGCGCGCCGATCGCCGCTAGGCTCATGCGCCTCCGTCTGTCCCAGCCTCTTCGTCGCTCGTGCCTTTTTTTTCACTCTTTGATCTTCCTCTTTTCTAATTTCTCTTCAAATTTAGCAGGTGTTATTCAAATCAAACAAGCGTCCCTTTGTCATCCTCTTCTTCATATTTTGTCATATATTCATGACATACGCCCCATTTTCCAAGAGTATTTTTCTCAGAGAACTTCCTCTCTCTCTCTTGATCTTGTAGTTGCATTCACTTGCTAGTGTTAACTTTATATTAACTTTCACTTCACAATGGTCACCAAAAAGCACTTTCCCCATCACGTCATTTAGCACTGCACTGTATTGTTTGGCAAGTTCACTGTATTATCGTTCGTAAACCTTTTGGCTGCACTCGAAAATTTTACTACCACAAGAGTGCAGCACTCACAGTTCGAAAATGTTGAAAAAATTATCGTGTACAAAATTCAGCTTCAAGTAAAGTCATCTACGAACATCCTTCAAACACATTCTACAGGACCATCTTTTTTCATGAAAGCAATCAGGAGTCTAAGACAACTCACTTCAATGTGTGCTTTTTCACGTTCCGGGTCTTTTTTAGTGTCTTCCTACGTCAACTCTCCCCCCACGGTTCGAGACGCTCGACACATCTGATGCTTCTGTTTCTTTTACTCCGATGACTCTTCGAATCAGCTGTCTTAAGTAGCCTTTTAACTCTCGCTTCATTAGCTCTTTGCTCCACTAGTTTTCCTGCCCGATGATCAAGGCATAGCTTCAGCATTTTCAGAGTGGTTTTCTTTCGTCTCGCGTGTCCGCAACTTTGAAACCGCTCTGCTAGTGTCCTGGTGTCCATGACCAGTTCTCTCTGCATGTACAGCTGTCTTATTTTCTCTTACTTTCTTGCGTTTGACAATGCACGTGTGAAGCATCTCATTCTTTCTCGCACCCTCTGGAATCGAATCATCATACGTGAATGCGTTGTGCTTTTCCTGTCAATATATCTGCCCAACCGGGAACATATACTGATTGTCTCTTTGCTACTTAGCTTGGTTGCGTTCGCTTTTTCCATGCACTGTTCTATTGCATCCACATCCTCTACCCTAAGCAACTGTATGTGGCATCTAATCTCTTTTCCTGCAACTTCTCGCTCACATGACCTGTCTCACTGGCATTCAACTTCTGCTCGGCTAATCTTACGCTCAACTGAAGCATAACAGGGAACACCACACACACTAATTTCTGTTGATAACTCTTCTGTGTACGTTTCTTAAATTGGTCTACCTGTGGCTTGTGCCACTTGCAGTTGCCGCTCTAGTGCATACAGTTTTCCATTGCAAAAAAAAAAATTATTGTTGTAGCTGCCCTAGCTGCAGAGATATTTAGGCCTCAAAATTTAATAGTCGTAAATTTACTTTTTTGAGAAAAATGGAAAAAACTGAAAACACACAGCTTCTTCAAAAACCAAAAACCATGGTGCACATGCTTTGCAATCCTCATAAAGGTGCTCATAAACTCGTAGCAGGGGTTCTAGCACAGGTGCCGGCAAATTATGATGAAGCCTCGAAGTCAGTTCCCCATTTTTTTGCAGGTTCTGCATGTTAACAGCACCAAGAATCTGGACAGTTAGAATGACATTAGAAAAAAATTACCACTTCCTGGTGTGTGAAAATTTGCAGAGAGATAGCAAAATACTTGCAAAAACCAAATATTTCAATTTTAAAAAATGAATTTTTTTGTCACTTTTTAGTCCCAGTCTGGCCCCTTAATCTATATTTCTCGCACTTCGACGCGTACTATGTCAAGCTCAGCACGTTTCTTCTCTAACTCTCGTTGATTGCATTCCCTCTCTTTCTGAACCCATGCACTCTCTTCTTCAATGAACGTTAAGTCCTGTTCTTTATTGAGCTTCTGCTCCCGAATGACCGTTAAAATCTTGTCCCAATCCATCACCACAACAACCGATAATCAGTGACTGGGCAGGAATTCAATCCTGGCAGGCTTGCCAATTTGTCACAGATTACGGGCTACAGCTGCCGCGAGCGATGGACTGAGACATAACTCCGTTAATAACAAAACTCATATATTAAACACTCACACACAATATGCTTGCTTGGAACATCTTATTTGTGAGTAGGCTTCATTTACCTCACGTATCAGCCGGATAGGTCGGAATGAAAAAAGGCCATAATAATGTCCTTAAACAGCGCATGCTTTCTGGGTCTTTTGCTCTGCTTGTCACTGCAGCATAGAACTAGCAAATGCACTCAGCTTCTTGCAGCTTCTCGCAGTAAAAACTGAAAGAGAGCACTTGATGGGAATGTGAATGCAGGCAGGTGCAGAAGCTGCCTGCCCAGGTGCGCTGGTCAGCCGAGGTGAAGCGTGCGGTCGCGGCCTTTGCTGCGCTCAACAGCAACAACTATGTGCGCTTCTTCCGGGTTGCCGCCCAGGCACCCTACTTGGCCGCCTGCCTGCTGCACCGATATTTTGGACAGGTGCGCGTGCGTGCCCTCCAGACCTTTTTCAAGGCTTTCTGCCTGCCCAATCACAGTGAGGAGGTGAGTGAATTGCACTTCAAAGCAGATGTATTCTGCATATTAGACGGGAGTACATGTTATAGGGTCGTGTATATTTAATGTTACTGCGCTCGGCAGCGCCTCCAGATTTTGTTTGCCGCCTGGGCTGTTTCCGCTTGATGCAAAAGATGGCGCTCACGGAGGGTGGGGCAAGGCGCTCACTGGGGAGTGACTTTGATCCATGTGTAGAAGGTTATTGCTGCGGAGCCTCTCTTGTTTATTACTCTCGATATACACATATACATGGATGCCAATAAATTAATACACTGTGACTCTGCCGTAACGAAATTGATTTCCTAGTTTATATGCACCTTATTTGATAACAGTGTTTTTGTCATGTAAATGCTCCGACAGCAGCGAGCGTTAGCCTGGAGAGTGGTCGCATTTTGACACAACAGCACTCAAGAGCTTCTTTCGCTGAAATTATGCTGTCAGCGTCGGCAGTGTCGGCATTAGCATCTTTGCTTCAAAACAAAAAAGCAGCATTGTACGTGAAAGAAAGTTTGAGGCATTTGCAATAAGAATACCAGCTTGAAGGCAAAGGCACGCTAGCTGTTATGAAAGCGATAGTTTACGTGCATTTGTGCGTGTGTGTGAGTGCATGTGTGCTTGCGTTTGTCTTTTGGCGGGGACATCGCTGTCGCGTTTTGTTTGCTCGGCGAAATGAGCGACAAACTTTGTCAGATAATTAATAACTAATGTAACGCGACATTTACGAGCGTTCTAATAAAGGACTAGTGAGCAACCTTAAGGTCTAAAAATTGTTGTAAAGAGAAATATGTGCACTTTTACTTCGTGAACATGCTGCCGCAAGAATCTTGCAAATATGTGCTATATTAAGGAAGTTACAAGGGCTAGAAAATCGCTTTCAGCTGGTTTCAAGTTTTCACGCAGCCTCGCCACCCTGTTCCTTCAGAGGGAGGGGAAGGCATAGCCCGTCGTTGTGACTCAGCCCACTTCGGCAATGTGACAAGACGTCAGCGGTTGACGTGATCAGCGAACTCGATCAGTCGCAACGCACTTCCGCTTGATGTGATGTCCGGTTGTTTACTGTTTACCCGGTGCTGATGCTGCTCCGCAGCTCAGTCGCTCAATTTGCAGCCGACAATGGTTTGCAGCAAAACTACGTTCCAAAACCCGAACATGAAGTTGGCCCGATTTTTCGGGAGTTCGATTTTTCAGGAGCAGACTGTCGTGCCATCTGGTAGCAGCAACACAAAACACAAATGATGCATTTAATAGTGGGTGTGCTGATCAACAGGTGGCGCAGCAATCTGCTTATTCCCAAAAACTGGGCTAGTGACGTGTTCCGATTTCAATACATCGAGCCTATGGGGAGTTTCGCAATTCGTATGATTGCATAGCTCTTTTGTAGCTGTTTGTGGGAACACGCACTGTCGTTAACTTCACTACTGTTTGTTGATACCTGGTTTAGACCAATCGACAAGCTGCGTGCTGCATCACATCGCCGATCGCAGAGTTGTTGTCACTGCGCATGGAAGGAGCATTAGTCAGGCGTAGGAAAGGAGCGTGGGAATCGTTTTTCGAAATGGAGGCTCTGTGCGGCGCGCAGCTCTGTAATATTCAGAAAACGTGATCGCTGCTGTCTACTCAACGAATTACTGAGCTTGTTTGGAGTGTGTAAAAAAAAGGTCGGAGCCTGTTCACTGGCCCTTTAAGAACCTAAATCGATACGCTACCCTTACCAGTCTTGCTGTTAGCGTCATGTAGATGACTCCATTTTGGCCTTTGGCAGTGTAAGCAGCATGGTATTGGGGGAAAATCTTCATTGGGTCCCGAAGGTCGACCCTGGGTTAACCTGTACCACACCCATGTCGGTATTATCGGGCCAGAGCCATTAGCCATACTTTGCGATACTTTATTAAGCCGCACAGACTTCAACTTGATGAAGTGCTTATCAGACAGTCAAAGCGAGCACGCTACCCAAAGCAGTATATCTTGCGCAGCTCGTCCCTTATGCCACCGACGCAGTACGCCAACAATCATATTTCACATTTCATGAGGCGTCTAAGGCTATCTAAGGCCTTGGGTTAAGAAACGGTGTTGTGTCGTAAGTACTGTGGTCGGAAGTGTTCCTGCAATATTGCAAGCTGCAGACGATGAAGTGCTGAGACATCCAAAAACAGGTAAATCTAGCCTTATGACATAAAGCATGGCAAAGTAATTATAATCACGTGAATATAGTGAATGTAAAAAAAAAACACGACTGCATCACTGAAATAGTATGTACAATGATTTCAGTTTAACATTAATCTTTCTTGGTCCAAATAGAAATAGATGAGACAGCTCAAAAAATAGTATCTCAATTTAAAGCAAGAAATTACTTTTCCAGCGTGATGAGGAACTCACAGTAGCACATAGGCCCACACTATCAGTGTCGTGTTGAGAAACACCCTCCTCTTTACGTAGAGGAAGCCCATCACTGCTGAAGTTGCATGAGCGCTGCCTTTTGCATGCGTGCCTGTTGATTCGTCATCGCCATGCTGTGGAGTCGCTGTCTGCAAGCGCAATAAACGCTATGGTCGTGTCAAGCTCTTCAGGTATAGTTGAACCTTTTCGCCCCTGTCGCTTCCAAAAAGTCGGCAGTAGAGCCAGCCTTTTCGCCGAGCTTTCCTGGTTTTTTGCTGCACGATCAGGCATTTTGGGCAACCTGGTAAAATGGCAGGCACAAGTGAGCATAGGCTTTTTGGTGCGTGCAACCGGTCGTTTCCCTTGTATTCTGCTTGATATGTGGCAGAGATCCCTTCTTCTGGGAAATTCTTTACGCACACATGGTCAGTAAGCTGCAAAGCTCTGTCAGCTCTCGGAATTGCCTGTCACCGCTTATTCAAGCACTCTAGTTCACGCGGTGCCTTGAAAAGCGACACATGCTCTGTACAAGCTTCCAATACTCCAACTAGCAACTCGGGACAAAACACCACTTGCCCATTTTCAGGTGCAATGAGCGACGGGGCTGCTCATGCGTACTCGGAGTAATATGCAGCGCCGAGGTACACGTGCACTGATTCACAAAGGACAAATCAGCACAACAAATGCACTGGCAATGCTCACAGGCACAGGGAAACATGTTTTTAAATCACAAAAACCCATGCACACAAAACTTTCAGAAAGATGTTTTATTTCACCTGAATTTCAGAATGAGCACCGCGTGATTACCTGGCACGGCTTACAGTAGCACCGTCTCAGCTCCCGCGACGGAAACTACTTGTAACTCAAGGTCATCGGTGAACACAATCTGCCCGTGCCTTCTCTTTAGGCGAAGCAGCAAGTGTCAGCGCCTAACTTATTCTTACACCGTGATTCAAGCTGACAAAGAAGGTGGTTTTGTTGTACTTCCGTATGACTCCTTCCACCAAAAAGCAAGAGCTCCAGGGGAGTCGCCCTAAAACCGTCAAAAGTCAAGAAGGATGCTCCTAAACTCATGGAACAGCTTCACCTTGAGGCCCTAGTGAAGTCGGTGAAAAAGAGCAGAGGTGATGTGCTCTCTGTGTTTTTCACGCTAAAGACGCATAAGCCTGAGCGCAATATGAGAACCATTGTTACAGAGGAAGGTTCATGGCAGGAAGTTGCGGTAGGTTTCTGCAAGGCTCCCTAAAAGCTCTTGTTCCCGATGATCCATGTTGCATTGACAGCTTGAGTGTGCCTGCTTGAGGTTTTGAGGGTGGAGGAGCTGGTAGTGAATACCGCTTTTTCTGTATTTTTCTGTATCCCGTGACGAGCTGTTATCAGTACTGCACGAGGCCATTGAATCGCATGGCGAGACTTCTTTTCAAGGCGCGTGCGGCCTTTGCAACCGAGAACTTCATCGAACTTTTAAACTTTTATTTGTTGGCACATTTGTCACCTTTGATGGCAAATGGTATATGCATGGGGTCTTGCGTTGCTCTGGTGCTTTGCAGTATTTTTTTAACCACTTTTGACAGACGCTTCTGCCAAAGCTTCGATGATCACCGGGTAGTCCGTATTTTTAGATATGTTGATGATTTTATTGTTTTCTTAGTATTGGGGGGAGTGATTGTGTTTGAAATGTTATTGGTTACATTATTTCAGAATTTCAAGCATGCTGTTCACATTATTGTTTCATGCATAAAGTTTCGCAGCAAAATTTCATTAGGTTTCTAGGCCTCACACTCACGTTTCAACCTCATTTTCACGTGTGCTGGAAGTATAGTCCAAGGACTACAAAGAATCTTTTGCCCTATGATTCTTCCCACTCCAAGCTTGTGAAAAGAGGTTTTGCCAATCTTTGTCTGACAAATGCTGTTGTCGAGAGTTGCATTCATAAAATGCAAGACAGCATGACTCAGCAGCAAAATTGCAGGCTGCTCGAAGTCGGCTGTAGCCTCTGTTGCTGAACATGAGTTTAAGCGTCTCAATGCAAAACACAGAAGTGATGGTGGTGTAGAACACAGTATTGAAAGAGGTGTTCAAGAACAGAACTTTGTGATTATGCCCTACGTTCATGGCATTTCACACAGATTGAAGAAGGTTGCAGCCAGGGTCAATATCCAACTAGTCTGTTCTGCTCACACAAAACTCGCAGGTCTTTGCAAAAGGGTTGCACAGCTCAACACGATAAGCAGTATGTGTGACATAACACATGTGAAGAAATACTGCGCCTAACACATGTGAAGAAATACTGCGCCTGTAACACATGTGTGATGTATATCATTCTGTTAGGTAGTGATAGGTTTTACGTTGGACAATCTGATCGTTGTGTCAATGTTCAGCTGAGGGAGCATGAAAATCTTCTACCCTCGGGCACTGGTGGTAACTTGCCTTCGCACTGCAAGTCATGCGATTGCACGCCCCTCTTTGGTAAGGTAACAATTTTAGGTAAGGCTGACATCCAGCGAGAATGGGAGATTATTGAGGCATTTCATATCTGGAAACGGGGTCCTGACAAATGTGTTAGTGCAGCTTCAATTTATTTCACCAGGAAAGAATGTTTGTTTCTAGCA